GGTTTGAAGTGCACTTTGCAATGGTGCTTATTTATGAGGGACGTTTAACACTGACACATGTTCGTAATAGGATTCGCCAAACTACGGTTCGCGGTTCTCCATCCTCCAAAGTTGGTCTAGTCACAGTTTTATATGGAACGACGCACGAAGCCTCGCGATATCCAACAATCAGGCAAACCATATAGGGACTGAAAAATACCTCTGCGGTTCATCGGTTTACAGGAAACAGAAAGAAAACCCGTTCTGTCCATGTAGCGCTAAGACTGCATGAACAACGTATCTATGCAGAAGTAGGATGCTGGAAGAGACACACTAAAGACAAGCTATCTCCAAATTGTAGAAAATACAAAATGCCGTCATGGTTGACAATTATTGCCTACAGATGGATGGAGATTGATGTACTTTCTGAAGCTCATGCTCGCTTTTCGTAGAAGCGTGATTTTATCACATGCAATAAATAAACACTTTATAAAGTTGAATAATTGCAATATATGTTTGGCTGTGGCCTTGTAGTGACTCATGTTTATTGCCTTTATGTGCAAAATTTCGGGAAATACGACCAAAATACTACCCAAGAGCTTTTTTACAAATATATAAACACACTACTTGTTCTCTTCAAATTAAAAGATACAGTTGTCTGTCAAAGTTAACGAAACGATTATACTTTTTATCCGACTTACAATAAAGCAAACTGATAGAAGAGTGGTATAGCTCGGACACCTGCTATTACGCACTTGTGAGTTCAACAAACCTCATCGATCGGTTTAATTGGATTTTCTTTTTTTCCGTCATACTGTTTGACATTTACTTGTCGTCGCATTTATCTACTGACACAGGCAGACCTAAGCGTGAAATCTTCTTACTGACAAACATTCCTGTATGCCGGCTTTCTTAACAATTCTTGATATTGTGAAGAAGAAGGTGATTGCTGCGCCAACACTTTTATTCACCTGACGTTTCGAAATCCGTCATGAATTCTTAATCCAAAACATTATTAGAGACAGTAACAGAAACGAGTAATTCATGCGCAGGTAATTGCAGTATTTATAAGATACAGTCACTATGCTACTACTCACTTATAACCACTAACGACTCCCCTATCCAGCATAATTGCCCACTTGTGCACAAATTCCTTGTTGGCCGGCGTGCGGGCCGTGACCTGCTGACCTTTCATCACACGTGGTGGAATTGGACGTGATGATTGCTCGGTCCCGGTGTTGTCATTAGGCGACCTGGTGGCCTGTGTGTTCTCCAACTTGTGACTTGTTTTGGCCAAACTGAGCCTCAGCACGAATATGGATTGGGCAGGTTGTTGCACTTGTTTATAGATTGGGGCCCGGTAACTATGACTGAAGTAATTCGCGACTCACATGATTGTCGTCCTCGCGAGAACGCATGGGCCACAACGTAGCCTA